GATGTTTGTCCATGTGCAGGGCGGTGATGTAAGTACGGCCCCGGTCCCACTGTGGAGGCTGCGTGCTGCCGTGTTTCTGACGGCTCCGGCAGCCCTGGCAGCCGCCCTGCCCGCACTGCAGGCAGGTGTGCCTCCGCGGCTCGCTGCTGGCAGCGGATCTGAATGAGAATGTTTCCACAAACCCAAGCGGTTTTCCCACAGGAACAACAACAAAAAAAAGCAACACAAGCACTCAGTGCAGCATCAGCACGGGGGGCAGTATGCGGAGCTGTCGAGGTTTTGTTGCGCAACACCGAGCATCGCTGGTGTAACGCGTGCCCGTTTCAATGACAGCTCTTGGCTCGGATGCAGCGGGGAGGTATGACGACTAATGCGCTCCACGGGGAATATTTGCTGCTTCATCTCTAGGATTTGGAACATCTGTCCCTCCCTCCCAGTCTGCCTGAGATGGGGATGAGTACTTCTGCTTTTTCTACCACTGCTCTGGGGTTAGTTGAGCAGTGAGTAGATGCAGGTTATCGCAGTGAATCAGGCGACAGGGACTTGGTGGAAGCCCCTGTTCCTCCAGCCAGACATTTGCTGATAAACCAGGATCAGCCCTAAGGAAGGGAGCACCCAAAGGAGCTGGCAATGAAGCTCAGGCTCTGGGGTCCCATTCTGAATGGAGAGGGTTCCCCTTCTGAAAGAGATCTGGATGGGTCACAACAGTCTGGGGAGGCCCAGTGCTGGAGAGGGAAGGGGGTTACCGGCAGCTCTCTAATAGTTGGAGACAAATAAGAAAGGAACGGTGATCTCCACTGTCAAGTGACTGAGAGACAGTTCCCAGCTGAGTACTGCTTGGAAATTTGAGATCTAATTAAAGCAGGCCTTAGATCTCATCATTCTTCCTGCACGTCTGGGACAATGAAATACTGACTCGCGCATCTGTTCTGTATGTGTATTTGATGCAAATAAGGAAGAAGTCTGTAAATACATCAAAAACCATACTTTATTTTATGTATAGCAATACAATTTACATATTAAATAACACTATAATAGAATGATTTGATATAGTTTTAACATAACAAAAAGAAGATTCTTCAAGTTACAAAAACCCCCCAAACAAAAACCAAAACAAAATGAACAAAAATTCTCCCTCAAAATACTCCCTCCCACCCTCTCCCAAAACCAAACACCACATTTTTTTTTTTTTTCTGAATGGATCAATGAGACAAACGTATCCAGTGACTGGCTAAGTCTAATTCCTATTGCACACACTGACAATGGAATAAAAAAAAATAAATCCAACTTTCACAATCACTGCCCCAAAGAAATGACACGTGTGGAAATCTTTTTTGGAGTGTGATGATGGTGTCTCACTACCTCGATACACAGAAGGTATGTATTCACATAGCCACCACAGAACTAGGAAGGAGGTGAAACTAGAAAAAAATTAGCTTTATATGAAAATATAAAATTCTATGATTATATACCATAGATACAAAGTTCCCAGAAGATGCTTATCCAAGCAACAAAATATTTACAGTTTTAATGACTTTGCTATCTTAAAAATGAAGGAAAAGAAAATAGGAGTACACGTGAATGCTTCGGTTTTTAGAAACAATGGCTGCTTGCTAGTTTCAAATGTTCTAACAAAACAAAAAGAGTCACTACCCCAAATGTTGGAGAGTTGTGACATTGTATAAAATTGACTATCTCCTCTTTTGGAGACATGTTTATTCTTAAAACTCAAGACATTTTTCTTGAAATTAATTATCCTCTGTAGAAAATGCTTCCCTTTGCAAATAGTTAACAAAAACACTAAAAACAGTTTAACAGCTAAGACAAAGTAGAGGCCAAATCTCTTCATTACAGTTCCTTCTCTTTATTTTTGCATTCCTTCTCCTTTAATAAGTAAAGCCAATGTAGTTCACATTGTTAGAATGGCAACAAAGAGAAGAAGAGCAAAGGGGTAACAATAAGAGTTGAATTACGTCTGTAAAAAAAAAAAAGAAATAGAACAAGAAGAAAAGCAATGCAGTGGATTAACAAATAGGCATTTTCCCTTCATATAAAAATTCACTGGCACCACTTCAGAACACAAGATCTGATGTCAAAAGACATGAATTTGAGAAAGACTGCTAAATCTTTAAGACAACTACGTTTTAATTTTTTTTTAATTAAGTTGGTTTTTATTTTGCTGAGAATTAGTAGTATGTATCTTTGGTAGAATCGATATCTATATTTTTTAGCTTTTAAATAAAATACATCAGCTTAAAAAAAGATTAATAAGAAGGCAGTTGTGCTGTGTCATAAAGATTCTTCTCCTAATGTTCCAATGTATCACTCTGGGTTCAAGCAATTCAAGCAGTCAGAAACCGGAAAAACAACTAAAATTTTGCAGATCCCGTATATGATTCCACTAACCTAGAACAGACCCACAGTACAGAAACAGTCACGCACAAGAAGTAGTTTAAGGGTTTCGGATTTTTCTTTTTCCTGTCCCTAAATTAATATTTGGAAACAGACACTGTGGAATACTAAGGACAAATGCTGTTCAAAGTGAATGTTCTTTAGACCTTGGTCCTGCAGAAGAGTCGGTGCTTAGCCTGCGCGCCTGAGCACTCCGACTGGCTCTCCCACACCTGCCTACCGATGCCAAGTTCCCGGACAGGAGTGTTTGTGGGATGGGGCATTCAGCTGAGACTGTCACCCATTTTAGATGTTAAGATGACCCAGTGGCTTTCCAAGCATTCCCTCTTGGAAAGCTTGGCTGCTCTTACGGGCTCAACGCACAGAAGTCTTTCACGTCTTTCACATGGTCTGCGGGCGCAGTACGCATGTAAGACATGGAGAAAAGAATATTTTCTAAATGTAGACACACACATGCACGTGTACTTCAGTCCTTTATTTCCTCATTTCTCAGGGCTGGTGCTGAGGACCACATTTTATAGCCATGCAATATACTCAGGTTCTTTTAACTTGCAGGCCTGCACATTGTCTGGCAACTTGTGATGCTTGAAAAACATCCCAACCAAACACCAAAAAGTGGTTACAGCGCGAGGGGGGGTGGCTGGCGTGGCAAAGCAAGGTTGCGATGCAAAGAGCAGGACTTCGGCCAGAGAGACTCACGAGAGCATCTCTACGAGCACACATCTCTGAACACATACTTGCTCCTTCTGCCCGTCTGGCTCAGCCCCAGGGAGAGGGTGCAAATCCATGTAAGAGAGCAGAACTGCAGCTGCGTACAGCGGGATAGATTTGGCTCTTCCGCGCTCTTAATCCTGACCTTCACAAGCAATTCCTAGCTTCATCCACTTCAAGCCTAATGCATCGCTACGATCTACATCGGCTATCTGACTGTCAGCACAGCACTTAACACACAGCTTGAGCCTCCCGAAGAAAAAATCCATGGAGAACTCATAGAACATCAGTGTAAATTATTTCCCCATGGATTAAACCCCAAGCAAGTATTTCAGGTGTGGGAAAATGCCAATGCAAATGCATAGATTTCCAAAGCATCTACCAACGTTCAACCCCCACAGCCGCCTTTCATTGAATTTTAAAACTTGAGAGAAGGTAAGGGATTAAACCAAGGATATTCAGGCAGCATGTCACGAACCACAGTTATCTTCCATCATGCCACTGAAATGAAAAGTAATCAGCTGAAAGTACTGAACAAATCCAGCCCTCTTGATGCCTGCAGTAATCTTTGTGTCACTAAGTTCTTGTCAGGGTTTGAATTCTTAACTTCTCCCTACACCTTCCCAGGAACTTAAATACTTCAGAGTGAACTGATCCAACTCATCAGAGTCCCTTTGTGCCACCAGCTGGAATCGCCTGGGGCCAGAATCACTTGCATGGGGGCTCCCCAACCTCTAATGCGGATGGACACTGGCCAGCAGACCACTTGGCAAAGCCTTCCAGCCCTTGCAGGCAGCAGTACTTGAAAAACTTACTGAAACAATTCTTGTTATTGGGGTGTAGTGGCTGGAGAACCAGTCTTAACTCCTACCAGACGTTAACTGACTCCCTCCTCCGTGCTGGCTTGTCCCAGTGCAAAGGGGATGCAAACTACAAAGCAATCGTTTGAAACATTTTGCACATTTTTTTTATTTGGACTGGCCATGGGATTTCCTTATTGAAACCATGGATATATTGTACTGTTTGGCATTAGCAGTTATTTGGATCACCTGTATAGAGGGATTCAACAAACGGAGAAGTAGAAGGTGACTGTGTAAAAGGTTGCTGATGAATTCTTGAATACTTTGGTGTTGAATTAATCAAGTGTATCCATACTAGGAAATCTTTCCCTTATTAAAAATAAAAGGCCAGATGTTAGCACATAGCAGTTTGCATAGCTCCTCTGCTCCCAGTGAGGCCGTATCAGTTTGTACCTCGTGAGGCTCTGAACCAAAATACCTACTCTCAATATAATTTTCAGCAGTTTGCTTTCAGCTTCCTTGCATGTGAAAATGCACAGAACCTTGCCAAATGTCTATATTTCAGCAAGAATAGACTGGCAGAAATTAATAGGTTTACATTTAAATGAAAAAATATGCTGTAACTTTTTGACAAGTCCTGAAAAATTACAATGCATGTTTTGTGCAATTGAAATTCAAAAGTAAAGAAATTAATGCTGTATGCAAGGGATAGTGCCTTTAACTGTATACCAAATGTCAGGATGGTTGAAACGACATATTTCCTTTCCAGGGCACATTCCGTAACCTCTCCCTACTCAGCCAAGCTATGAAGGACACGATTAGCTCTAATTGTCAGGAGAATTAAGTAAGTATGTGCTTACTTCTTTTGTTAAATAGGGATAGACCTTGTTGAATTGCGACCAAATACAAAAGAAAAAGGAGCCAGTGAGGATGTATACTTAAATGCTCCAAACAGCAATTCAATTATTTATATAATCTGGGGGAAACGGTTTTATTGGTGTGGGAGGGAAAACACAATAAGCTGGGTTTGTGCTAAAGAATTAGTCTGGCAAAAAAAAAAGAGGGAGAATGTAAATTTATAGGTAGTTTTTTTATTAGTTTGCTTCACCAGTAAATATGGATCAGTACTTTATGTTTTAGCACTAAAGTATGAAAATTACACACCTGTAAAAATGGCATCTAACAGTTATGAAATTAAGAAACGCCTGTCATCATGTAACATACCATTAGGTGTGAGGTCATATTCAAGAAATAGTAAGGAAATTAATGTGTTTAAAATATTGAATAGCTTAGTAATGTAAAATATTGCTACCTTCAATATATCTGCAAACAGGTCTGATTTTGGGTTGTAGTAGATTTCTCACTGTATTGGCTCTGATGAGAATAAAACCAAAATACTTTCCCATCATAGGGCTGGTTATAAACTAAAATTGACGTTTTTCTGAATACATGGGGAAACTTTGAAATTGCAAATTGGAAACCTATCGCTGCTCCCCGCATATGAATTGCATCTGATTTATAATTATATTGTATGTAATTTATGTATTCCATGTGAAGCAAGTCTTAGGCCTGTAAGTGTACAAAACAGCAATTTGAAACAATACAGAAAAAATGGTTTCAGCTCCACAAGGCTGTTACACCTTCACTGTAGCTAATAATCACCTGCCACGTTTTGTCAAGAAAGGATGAACGCTGCTCATCCACTCCACTGGAATGCAGAATACCGTTACCAAAACTGTGACATGATCATTAAAATAATAAATATGGTATGAAGGGGTACAGTATCTGTTGTAGAAAGAATCCATCTGGCCTAGCATTCAAGATTTAAGATTCGAGGGTCACTGTAGTTAGCAAAACTTCACTGCATTTAAACAAAACAGAAAAAGCGTACGTGTGTTGTCATGGAATGTCACATCAGGGCTTGTCTTGTATTAGAGTATTATAGGCAGTAACACTGATCATATAGTGCAAACTAGATAAAATTGCGTTTCACTGTGTGAAATAAACAGAGGTGCAAATGCTCAGTAGGATACCATTAAGACATAAAATGGCAAAAAATAAATATCAAAACTTTTATCAGTGTAAAAAAGTAATTGGGTTATTGTATAACCTAGAGTCTGGCAAAAAAGGCCTCAAAAAAGTTCACTCAGTCTTCAGAAGTTCTACAAATTAAGTGCCTTTTCAGGTTTCCAATTAGACAAGAGACTCCATGCTTTCTGCGGGATCAGATTCATCACTGGCCATCACAGCACCATTTTTGTCCAGTGTCATGGGACCGTTTCCATTTTCCTTAGTGCTGACCAAGCTTAGCATTGCCTTATAAAGAAACTGGTACTGTTCCTGGAAAAGAAAAGAGAAGTTACTTCAATCCCTTCAGTGTACATAAGCGAGTGGCACTTCAATTTGGCTTTTCCAGTGAAGGTCATCGATATTCATTACAAGACGCATACATATCACAAAGAAAAAGACTTAGAGACCAATTACCTCTGTTATGCTAGTTTAACCTCATCAACCAAACATGCCACTTTGGGGTAGGTTACATTATTCCTGATATATTATTAAGCTCTCCAGGAGGGCAGGACAATACCTGAGCCCACAGCTCAGCCCCGGGTTGCTCCCTCGTCCCGGCAGAGCCGCGCACACCGAGGCAGGGGTGCTGCTCGGGCTGCACACCAAGCGAAGAGCTCCTCTGGGGAAGCTTTATCTCCCTGCGGCTCTACCTGCCCTGCTGCACCCTTTCAGATCACAACGTGCCAGGTTGAAATAGCAGAGCTTAACTTACGGGGCCGGCAGGGCGACAAGCTGGAAGGTCCTTCTCTGCTGGGGCTGCCCGTACAGGGGCCCCCCAGCTGTATGAGAAATCAGCTCAACTGCAAATCAGAGCCTTACGCTGTGGGTTTGAGGTTTACTAAAAAATGACAATCATACCAAAAGAAAAGCCCAAGTGCAAATTCTGCTTGGTAGAAGATGCAGCAGGGCTTGACAACATACGCAATGTGTGTTTTAGTTCATGCTTTTGGTCTCAGATGAAAACCTTGCAAACTATCCATTTATATTCCATTTAAAGACTTACAATGTCTGTAAATACTCCAGGCCGCATAAGATTTATCATCTTTGCCACCTGGAAAACATCGACAGCATTTTCATTCTCCAGCTGCTGGGACAGAGTGGTAAGGGCACATAGCGTTCCTGCTGACACAGCTCCGTACCTGAAAAACCACGTCAAAATGATAACATACTCAGAAACGCACCTGGGCACCGACACAGAGACATGAAAATGTTGGTGTAGTCTTATTTGATTACTGTCATTTATCTTTGTATCTATTAAACGCTTGTTTTATACTGGCTAATTTTTAGTCTTTTTAATTTATAGAAGAAATTTGACAGTACACCAGTCATCTCAGAGTATCTGCAGTATTCAATACAAAGAACTGTATCAGCGGCAGAACGAGAGCCATTTAAAAATACCCAGCCTGAAGAGCATGACACTGAAATCGGTTCTCGCATGCCACATGTACCGAAAGCACCTGCATTATAGCTGAGCGTATTTTAAATTCATTAGTGGGAACTCAAGCAAAACATAAACGATTAGAAAGAAATGAGACTTTGCCTCTTCCTCCACATCTGACAATTATATAAAGCTAACAGGGATATGAGATGCTCACAAGTAAATGGGGCACATCGCAAAGTGTTCCTTAGGTCTGATTCATCGGCAAAAGGCAACATCCCTGAGTTGGGCACCCAAGAGACATTACGGATTCTGAAGAGTTGAGCTGTGCTGTCATTTAGTAAGAACCTGAGCAACAGTTATTCGTCAGGAGCACGAATCACTGTGTCCTTGAGATCCTGGTCAGGTAGAAATCTTACTGCTGCTAAATCTGTGGCTACACTTGAATCATGAGTGCAGTTGTGGGGCACGGGATAGAGGATCCTACGCAACAGGGGCTCATAACTCCTTCTGAGGAGCCTCAACTGTCCTCTGCTCTATCAGCACTCAGGAGACTGAAATTCTGCCCTGGCTTTGCTATGGGTTTGCTCTGTGACTTTGAGAAAGTCTGTGTCTAAATGTCCCCAACCTGTAAAAGGGGACACTGGCGCTGACTGGCTCTCTAAACTGTTTGGAGAGCTGTAGGTGAAAACTTAAATAATTGGCAAGTACTGCAAAGCCATCTGGTATCATAAGATTACCGCTAGGATTTTTTACAGCATTCCTGTGGAAATCAAGACATATGCTGACTTAATTTCGTATGATTTTTGCAAACTCAATTTGCCTAGAAATGGGAAGCAGAAATCAGATCACAATAGATCTGCTATATTTGATGAAAAGTCTATGGAAGAAGCAGAGCTTCTGCAGAACTATAGGGATGGCTGGGACTGATCGTCTACAGGGATAGTGGACAAAGTGGTCAATGCTTGATGGGACACAACTAAATGCCTCTGAGGCTCTAATGGGCTCATTTTCACTTGGGCTGATAACCTCCAGCTGAATCTGAAGGCTTTTCTCTCCGAAAATTATGCAGCAAATCTTTATCTAGTTGCCTACATATGGGCAGTTATATTTAAAAGTCTTGACAACTGTCTCACGTTGAAATTTCTGAACTTCGAAATGTTGTTATCAAGTTCATCCCACAACGTACTTCCTAAATACCACATGCACTTAGTATCTGCAAATTCATATATTTGGAATTAATCTGCAGTTGTAATTATTAGTGGATTATGTGATATAGTTGTTGCATGTAGTAAAGGGAAATTTTCATTTTCAGCTACATTTGCTTAGGCTCCAATGAAAAGCAGAATCCACATTATGTATTAGGCATAAAAATAAAATCATTGAATATGACAAATAAACCAAAAAAGCAATTTACAGAAAGAATGACTCAGCACTGTTAGGAACGCGATTTTGATTTATTTTTTTTTTTGGGTCTAGCATGAAATGCCCAAATCAATAATGGTTCTAATTTTGTAAAACATAATCTTAAATACTGCAAGAGTAGCAAAACCTCACTTCAGACTACCCAAAGCATGAATATTAAACCTAGCCTGGAATTAATCAGTGCTGGCAAAAGGCAACAGAGCTTACACTGTGCATTAGCAAGGCGGGAGACGGTGGGAGAAAAACTACTTGCTGCAGCCCAAGGCACCATTTGCAGGAGTCTGTTGGGAAAAACCTGTTGCAGCGGCAACACACCGGTGTGAAGCGAAAGCTCTTTCAGCAACGGCAGATACCAGCGTGCAGTCGCACACCAGCACAAAGGCTGATCTGACCACTCAAATCCCACAGTATGGTAATAACGTTTTTGCACGAAAGGTGAAGATTTCAAGACTTTCCCACTAATTCTGCTTTGTAGCAATGACAAGTCTAACGGACTCGAGCGCAGGGGCGTTGCAGGTATAGCAGTCGTTTATGCTGGCTTGATGTTTGCTCTAAGGTAATTCAAGCAGTGTCAGAAACTGGGCTTCCTTGGGATTTTAAAGGCAGAATGACTCCGGGAAGTGCTCTGCCTGCCAGGAAAGAGTCCCTCCAAAGAGATCCTGTTACACCAAGGCTCCAGCTTCACTATAACAGTACTTTGCAGTTCCATAATGTGTGCAAAGTTATAATATGCGATGCAGTATTTAGCACCCTGTACATTTGGGCATTCACGTGGACCTGGCCAGACAATGCTCACCACTGCACTACAAAAGAGACAAGTGTTGGGCCATGCTGGCCCTGCGTTCGCAGGATCCCTCCATCCCTCCTTCCCACTTGACACCATAAGGGCCCTTTGGAGTGTTTTTGGGGAAACAGGAGGAGGAAAAAGAAATCTGTTCTCATAAAACCTGGGCCCTTTGTCACAAGATACTTCTGCTGCTCATCCTGAGGCACATGTGCATGTCTTACATGGCACATTAAACCTGAGCTGTTAGACAGGAGCTCAGGGCTGTTTTGAAACTGGTTTCCATAAGCCCATATTGGGCTGCTTAGAGCCTTATCTAAACTCTGCAGGGTTCTGAAACAGGTTGTAGGATTTATTTGGGATACTTCCAGGTGCAGAAGAACCCAAAATGCTTACAAAGCAAACACAGCCTCGCTTTCTAAGTCCACCTAAGATTATGACCGACATAAAATTGATGTTAAGTAAAACATATTTGGCCTCCGATGCCAACTAAAACCTCATCCCTGGAAGTTTAAATATTCTGATCCTGTTCCCCAGACCACTAAGCCCCATCTGCTCCATGCAAGAATGGACATCAGTCCTAACAACTGTCCTGTAGCCGAGTAACTCCTTGTACAACCTGCACACAAATGGAAGAAAAGAGATGACATACTCATCATGAACTATGGTGGGGCCATCCCTTGTTAAGGCCTCTTCCTTGATTACGTTGATCAGTTCAAAGGTACTGCTTATGGGAGCGTCTGGGTTTGGCCATTTAGGACACTGAAAGTGGCGGACTTCCAGAACGTAGTCATCCTGCAACAAAAAACCAGCCTGGGCATTAGCTGCTTTAGTTCCACATCTGTCCATTCCAGGTAGAAAGAGGGAAGAGCCTCACTACAAACTGAAGAGATACCTTCTTCTTCCAAACAGTTTATATATAAAGAAGATGACAGACACACAGCTGTAGTATCTCTGTAACAGTGATAAAATAATGCAACTTTAACAAAATGTTGAATGGATAAAAGATTTTGTATTTGACTTCAGGGCTTATATCCATTTAAACCTTCTCTCAGAGCCCTCATAGCTCAAAAGTCAAACAAGAGAAGAGGAACCAAGGAATTCAAATTCAAAAGGGCTTGCAAACTAATGTTTTGCAGCAAAACCCAGCTGCAATCCTGACAGCAAACTACAGGCAGGTTTACAGCTCAAAAGAAATCTGCATAAGTAAAACCCCTTAATTAAGACACCCCCCCACCCAAACAATTAAACTAAAAATGCTGAATTTTATAAGCAGAAATAGGACAATAAACCTTGGCATACTTTACAAAGAATAATTCAATCTACTTGTGTGATTTCAAAATGAAAAACTAATGTCTTCACTTTCAAATAAGTCAAATAATTAATACTACGGTCTCAGTAGCTAGATGAATCTACCTGGAAGTAGAAGATATGAGAGGGAGAAGGAGCCAACGAGAATACATTCCCCCTGTGAGCAACATGCATGCACACGCATTTACAAGTAAATCCTTTTCAAAACTGTTTCTGAACTCTCCTTCTTCCATATTTAAATGACATCAGTAACATTTTGGTGAAAAGCCAAGACCTACATTTGGAGTTTTATTTTACCTGGGTAGCTTCAAGGATAAAGTCATGGATGATAATTTGCTCTTCGTTAGAGAGGCACAGTCTGTCTTTGCTGATAAGGGTCACAGTAAAGGCCTCACAGTTCATGGATTCCTCACGACTTGGCCAGTACACAAACTCATCTTCTGCCTGGAGGAATGAAACAACACACTATTGCAGCCTTTCAGATACCTTGTGTGTGACCAAAAAATCCAGTGGATCAAAAAATAGGTTTGATAAATAGAGATGATCAGGATCTGACCTTTAAAAACCATTTCTGTCTAAACCAAATTTACTATTACAGTAGGCAGTAAGCCTGCCAGATCCTTCCTTCGTGTGTCCAAACAGGTAACGTCTGCTTTTTAATTGGTTTCATAGGGAAATGGTTATCTTGGCTCACTCGTACTTAACCTTTGTATTGTATCCCGGGCTTTATTACCTCCTGCCTACACAGTTTTCCATGAAAGTCAGATAGCTGTTTAGAAAAAACTCATTGACATTTAAAAATTAATTGCTTATTATTTTTAATTAGTGTTTATTGTGGTCTAATCCAAAACTCAGAGTCTGTGGATCAGGTCTAGGTAGAAGACTGATGGATACTCACGTAGGGCTTGAATTTTTAGGAGTGAGGGGGGGATTGAGGAGGAAGGAAGAAACCCAAATACTCTTAGCCTTGAAAAAAACACTGGCTTAACTTAATGCAATTTCTCCAGCAAAACTCCTCTGCTGAAGGGACACTATAAAATCTCACTGAGGCTATGAATGGTAGAAGCAGCTCAGTGCTGAAGTAGCCTAACTGACAAGGTGCAGGTGTCATACTGTCAAAGCTGTTCTTTAAAAAATAACTGTGCATTCCTAATTCACTGCAGAGAAAGAAAATTAAGCTCTGTAACCACATACATGCAAAGCTTGTTTCCCCCCCTGGCTTCAGAGGTCTACTATCCCTGGAGTGTAAGCACAGAAGCTACTCTGGCAGCATGCACTGCTGAACAACCTGGGTTTTACTCATGAGAAAAAAAGAGCTACGAAGCTGCCGTGCCCATGGGCACGTCTCTAAACCCAGATTTAGTTTTGTGGGCCTGGAGTCTTCATGCACATGATGTGCAAGATACTCTTGAGATTTGGGCCTTAAATGTTTATTCTAAAAACTGGACTTAGGGTCCCAAGTCCTCTGAGTGCTTTGAAAATTCTGCCCTCAGCGTGCAGAGACACCAGCAAGCAGTATAACATGGCTGAACACCTGGGAACTGACCTGTCCTCATGCAGCAGTAGCATGCATTATCATCTCACCCTTTGGCATTAGACATTCAGCACCTTTACGCGGTCTCAGCCCTGTGCCACCCCTCCTCGCCAGCCAACAGCCCACACCGAACGCTCAGCCGATGCACGGATGCTATCGCCCTGATGGCCAACCTCCACCCTGGGAACGGTGAAGGTGAAGGCAGGGACCAGGCGTCCTTGCAAAGGACGTGGCCGTGTCCAGCGTTCCTCCCTTACCCTTTAATCACTATTGTTCTGCAGAGCTATTTCATGTACTTGTAGAGACAAGATCAGCCTCTTCATTTCCACCTGACATGCTTTCATTTCATTAGTGCTTTCTGATTCGATCGGATTTCTCTGAATGCTCTTGGCCTTGCAGTGCCTGCAATCCCTTTCAGCACGCCACGCACAGGACGCGTATCGACTGCTGCCTCTTTAGTAGCCCCTCATGACTGCTATTTTCCTGCTGTAATGAAGGTGGTTTCTCTTCCACTCTCAGCTACAATCGTCTCTTCACCTCAGTGATGCGTGCATGAAAAAACGAACCGTTTAGTTCTTAATCCTTTTCAACGCGCCCTCTTGAGACGCGCTAGTAAATCTGGAAGTAGCGATTAGCACTTCACCTGTGCCTCCTTGTTCTCTCTCTCTCTGTCTGTCTCATTATTTCCACTTAAATTAACATACATGTTTGCTTTTTACTTCCATCAAAAATAGCATTTGTAACCTTGCACAGACGTAGTCTTCCATGGCCTGAGCCTTAAGTCCCCGGGCAAACAAGCAACTATCCAACCATCCCTGCTTCGTATTTCTGCTCCTCTCCGAGTCTTTACCCGTGTCCCTGCCCACCCAGTAACCTCAGTGCTTTGCCCCCTGCCAGCCAGGCAGCCCTCGGGAGCTTCGCAGAGGTCGTCATCACTGGCGTGCTGCCTGTGAGCCCTGTGGTCCACCCAGCTCAGGGTGTCTTTCCCAGGGGCGAGAGCAGAAGGGGAGAGCAAGAAAAAAACCAAAACCCATGCCCAACATCTCAGAACGTGTCTTTTTGTAACACGCTTATGGCAAAGTTTGAGGCAGTGGCCCAAAAATTGGCTTTGCTTTCAATTGGAGAACAGCCACAGCATGTAACTAAGCGAGGCTGCGCCGGTGCACAGCGGGGCGCAGTGACTGCGGTACCGCGCAGGGGGGGACGCCTTTGACTCACCAGGCTCTGGTTGTCCGGCAGCATGACGATGATCTGTGCGTTGTGATCCCAGATCATTCGCCAGAAATCTTTAGTCGTATGTGGCAGCGGATGTTGGGTTATGATGAACTCGTTACTCCTGTAGTAGCCCTTTTGCAGCAAAACAAACCACACAGTTACTTACCACCTTCAATACTTTTAAAGCATTAATTTCATCTTTGGGGACACATAATGACCTTATTTCATTTTATTCCACAATATTTTCACACAGACTATAATTTTATAACTCCATTTCCACTCTGCAGAGTCCCTGTTGTTTTCATTTACTCTAAATCCCAGTATTTATTTGACGGTATCTCATGGAAATACACATTCCATCTAAATGCATCTTGTATTTAATTTTTTTAGGCAACAATCTTTAATAAAATACAGTTAATAGCTTTACATTATGGGGAAGGTGTTAAAATCTCATCTGTTAATGCACAGCCATTACATACAGAATTAAGACAATTATAGGCATCTGGTATTTAGCACCTTAGAATTGATTTTACTTTGTAATTAGGTGTTGGCTTCCTCACCATGATATAAGAGGCATTAATGTAATCTGTTCCCTTCATTCCAGGCAGCGGTGCCAAGCCCACTCTAGCACGCTCAGCTATAAGATTAAAAAAAACAGAGAGAAAAAAAAAAAGAAAAAAGATCAAAGTCTGGTCATGGCACAATGCAGAAAGTAAGAATTTCTCAGACGTTAACAAACCAAACAGTGTTCAGCTCCCATCTCCCACAGGAGCAGGCCAGCACTTTAACCGCGTTAAAGCATTGCCTGCTAACACAGGATATAAAAGGGAATGTTGCACAATATTCCCACAAGGACAAAGTAATTTCAAGAATCAAATTTTACTATAGCAAAGATTTTCACAGCAGGCTGAATTGCCAAATAACAGTATATGCAGTGATAACAGGGGATTTCAGGTAATTCGTGACTGTAGTGTTCCATTTGTCTCCAGCAGCACACAAACCCAGCCGATTTATTTTGTTTTCTCTACCACTCCGTAGCTCTACCATCACTCACTCCTCCCAGCTGGAGGGTGAGAGAACCTCCAGAGACAAACCCTTTCCCTCTGGGTAACCACCCAGAAGCGTGTGTGCGTGTTCTTCAGCAGATCTGAGCTCCCCCGTGTTCGAGGGTTGGGTTCAACAACATCCTCAAACCAACTGACAGGTCCCAAGCGCCACGCTGAAATCACTGCAGCTATGTGACACAGTGAAAAGTTGTACAGACTATTTCTGCCCCATTCACATTTGGTTTTAAGATATACCCTGATGAGTTCCCTTTTTATTAACAAACTTCACGATGGACTGTATCTATGCCATTATTACTTTGTGCTAGCTTGGCTGTCACCTGTCCTGTATGTCCTGTACTCCGGGTAATGTGATGGGAATGACATTGTGCCCGTGCTTGGTCTGGTGCAAATTCATACCGCTTGGCAACCAGGCACAGATTCCATATCAATGACTGTGAAACTGTGTCCCTGGGCACTAAATACCCTCAAATCTAGGGAAGGCTCACACACAGAGATTGAGTGTAGTAGCTGAATTACAAACAACTTGTGCCAATCACACTGGGGGATCTCACCTGAGCTGGGAGCGGTATCAAAGTAATTCTCTCAGTATTCCATAGATATATCCCCTACCTAATTATGCAAATTCTTAAGCACATCAAATTAACATTTCACTTGGACGGTATATCTGGCTGACACTGTAACTATTTTCTTTTGTTCAGTTTCATCAGGGTAATTCTGAAAGACAAGACAGCTTGGTCTGAACAAAAGATTACATTTCTCCTTCCTAGTGGCTATGCCTTTTCATGCATAACACCGCGAGAATTCAGTACAAAAAGTTATGCTAGGCAGTAATCAAACCGAAGATGTGATCTTACACGGCACGACTGATGAGTTCCTGTTCTTCTCTTTGTTGCAGTCTTTCTGAGCACTGAAGCATTCCACGTATTTTGCATTACACTGTGTAACCAGCTGAAAGAGAATAAAGTAGTAAGTCACAGCGCTCTAAATGAAGAGAGGGGGTTTCTTTGCCAACTCCTGCGAAGATGCATCAGTAGAAGAATAAACTGCATTGTTAAACTTGTGTAAAGTACTCAAGATGCCAATGAAAATCGTCCTTTTCACACAACGTGTTTAATGGATAAAAAGATCTCTGCAGCTCTCAGCTTCGAAACACCCTGAAAATGAAGTTCCATCAAAATGTATTTTCACAGAACGCTACATTTAGTTATCTTTGAGAATATATTTCAAAGACTTGCAGATATGTTCAGTCAGAAGCGGGTCTCAAGGAAGAAAAGCTAGCAAAATAAAACAACAACAAATCTTTTATGTTTTCTTTAAAATAAAAGCCAGATTATTCCTGCAGAATGTATTTTTCTGCCAGGCCTTTGGGGAACCCACCACGCTGGTATCTGAGATCTGAGGCCATGGGTTACATTCTGTGGTCTGCCAAGTTCATTCTGGGCTGCTTATGAGGCACAAAGAAAAGTCAGGGAGGCAGATTTGTATTTGAATATTCCCCATATGGGGAAACTCTACCACAGCAAAGAGGGTGAAGGTGGCCTTTTTGTCTCCTGCATTAGCCACTCTACTCAGTGTCATTTTACTCTAAGATGGTTGAATTTAATTACAGTACCAGGGCACGAGCACAAGTTATTTTCTGCTGGCTCTGTGGTAGCAGCAGAAATGAGAGAAAGATTTAATAATTGCTGCTGGTCACGTCCCAGTTTCAAATGCACTCTAAACAAGATAGCACTCAACTCATCTATGTACTGGCGTAAGCCCCATTAGAAGTTATGGGGTTTCTAAATACCTGTGCAACATTGGCAGAGAAAGTAATTCCTGAAAATGGCACTTAAGTTTTTGAAATTTTGCCACAAGTCATCCGAAAACATCTTTATACATATAATTCAGCATTGTTTGCAAAAGCGCAACGTTTTTTTTTAAAATAAGAAATCTTTTTTTTCCCTGCTGCATTTTGTGTGCCTGTGCGTGCGCTTGCGCTTGTTTCTTTAATTTAGTAATTAAGCATCTGGAATGTCTTGACTGATGGAGAAGTACTGAGATTTCTACAAGTGAATTCAGAGAAGAGCCTGTTCATTTTTTGAATAGCTTAGCACCTGGTCTAATTTAACAGTTTCAGTTCCTTAGGTAGTTACTAACTGAGTGAGTTTAGCTGTGAAAACAGATGTCACGTATAATTTTCTTATGATACATAGTCTCACAGAATATGTTCAAATGCATTCAAATAAAATGCAATCAGAAAATCTTTGGTTTTAAATAGCAGATCTGGGCCAAAAAATGTACTTTGGCCAGGATGAAAGTGGCCATGACATAGCAGGGAAAAGCAACAAGCATAGTTATTATCAATGAGAAAGGTATATTGTGTTTTCTGGTCTTAAAACATTTTTAATTCTTTATCTACAATGCTGAAATAGTAGGTGGTGCTAAGAACCTCATCTCATGCCTTCCTCCATATATGTGCATGATAGCCACAGTTTGGAGAAAGACTTCCAGCCAAGCTAACCACAGACTCGGGAACATCCAAGTCCCCTTGGGGACAGGGACACCAGCAGCACAGTGCAAACCAGTGTCCGTGTCCCTCTTACCACCTCTGACTTCGAGAGTGCTAGCGCTGATTTCCAGCAGTGCAGCCGAGACTGTTGAGGAGTGAACTTCCCAAGATGCTGTGCTGTGCTAATCAAGTGTTCTGGTTTGGTTCCTTATCTATGACAACTGACAGTGAAGACAGACCGTACGAAAGAGAGGAGGGAAATTAAGTCCCTCTGGATGGCAGTGATAAGTCTTACCTTGAACTGTTTTTCTAGTCGTGTCTTTCCTCCTATGCCAGGTATGAGGATGCTGTTAACATAACTATGCAGCTGGTTTGCAGATACTTCAGTCTCCTTCCCAAGGATGGCTTCCAACAAGGCATCATGAATAAAAATGTACTGCTCCTAGAAAAATAACAGCATGTCACGTAGGCGCTTGGAATAAACTAAACAGCTGGCTTTAACCGAGGGGTAGAGCACAGCAAAGGAAAGGGTGTGCAAAACAAGCCACCCATGCAAACACTGCCAAATCCAGAATAAACATTCTGTATAGCACGTACAACTCTGAATAAGTCAAAAGCAAAATCTGAAGTTTCTGGTCTAGAAAAAGAGAGACATTCCAGTGCAAAAAGCGCCTAGTGAGATATTCAATTTTTACAGGGATGTAACTGAAAAATCCATTTTCTTTTTGATTACAAGAAAAAAATGAACATGGCTTTAAATTCAACCCAACTGCATTCTTTACCTCTGTCTGGACGAGGTAGTTGCGCTGTGTCCTGATATGTTTCAGGAAACCCAGGACATTAACTGTGCTTTTGTCTTTTATCTGTTGCAGCATACTGTCTATCACAATGTAGGTACCAGTTCTGCCAACACCAGCACTAGAGAAGACATAAGAGAAACCCATGTAACGCAGCTGGACCGAAGTAAATGTTCACAACAGCAGAACAGAACAAGCAAATATTCCCGTTCACAGTTTTATTTCCATGCTAACCCCAACCGTGAAAGTTTCTAAACAAAATATTCTGTTTTTTTCTGGGAATTTTACCAGGTGTATATTTCATGATATGACACTTGGCTGTCCTGTCTCCACTGCTTTTGTTACTGGTGTTGGCTAGAAGAAGCCATACAGAGATCCACCCTATGCCAAACTGCTGCTCTCTTGGACCACCAAGGTTGCTCCAGGCTGTGGGTCTGCCCTGGTCGGCTTCAGCCTTGAGGTAAGGCTTAAGCTTCACAGTGGAGCTGTAATCCTGCTCTGGAAATGCAAGTGGTACCAGCACTAGGGCAAGGTGTAAGAGGGGACTAATCCTGCGGAGGCAGGACTCCTTGAGGGGGATGGGGATGCTCCTGGACCCAACACAGAGGGAGCAGAGGGGAACTGTTCAGAGCTTCACAGTTTCTGCTCAGGAAGATGGTCTAACCCCCACTATCTGCTCCTCTTCACTAGGGTGCTGTACAGCCCCCTCACACACAGTGATGAAGACCACGTCCCTTAAACTCATTTCAGGGAAATCCTCTCTTGACCGCAAGCGCTGGCGAATGTGAGTGTGCTTCAGTAGCAACTGCATGCCCAGGTGTCCGTGTATTCACAGGGCTGGTTGCCAGCAGAGGTGATCCTGCCCTGCCCTGAACTGGCAGCCTACAAACAGGCTTTGAACAAGGAACAGCACAACCACATCAGTGCAAAGCTCAGCAGCTCAGCATCGTGGCACAGGGTTTTGCTAATGCAACTGGGAAGCTTTTGCGTTGGAGCTGTCTGAAGATGTAGGCAAAGCAAGCTCGTGTCTCCCTGCGCTCCATGGGGATGGCACACTCCTTCTCTGTTCATAACGTACGGCGTTCGTCTTAGCTGGCAGGTAAGAGCACATGCCGTGCACTAGGTATGCTTGCCATGAAGTAGTTCCTCACACCCATCATACCTGCAGTGCACCACCACTGGTCCCATGTCCGGGGTTCTGGCTGCGGAGGATCTCCTAACGAAGGTTAGCACGGGCAGAGCGTACTCCGGCACACCCATGTCGGGCCACTGAGTGTAGTGATACTGAATAACCGTTCTCTCGTTCTGCCGCCCTTTGGGGTTTCCCTTCTGACCCTGCGTGCAAAGCGTGTGCAGAAAGAAGAGAACGATTAGGGAAGAGGAGCATGGGAAGATCCTCAATCCTACTGGCTTGCTCAGCTGAAAAGTGCTGGAGTCTAACGGAAGAAATCTTCTGCAGCTCTGCCTCCTGCTAGGTGGAGACAGAGTTCAAGGAAAAATATGTGTGGAAACAGGTAATAACAGCAATAACTGTGACACCAAAGCAGCAGTGAACTTGAGAAAAAGAACTACAGGCTAAACCTTTCACCAGGTTCCTTCTAATCCCAGCTTTGTTTACTTACTTCCCATCCACCTGCTACTTCAAGTTGCCGATGCAAATGCTGAGTTTTGCTCCTGGGTGCCTTGCATCCTACACAAACCAGAAGGCATCTGCAGGAGAACGGTGAAGGCTTTACTCACCTTTTTCATCTTTGTGTTCCTGACTGTGAAGCGGCGCACAGTGTAGCAGGCGTGAACGTTTGTGCTCTTCAGCGTGACGATTATGTTGCCATACTCCTCGCTGTTCTCCGACGGCCAGTACTGATCGCATTTTCTCTGAACAAAGACATAGTTGGGTGAGCTGGCTGAGGGTTTGAGCTGCTTCTTTACATTTGTGTTTAGAGCATTTTAAAAAAGTAAAATTGTGGGTAGCTACGTATCCCTTTGTTATGTTAGTTATTATTATACATCAACATATATCATCCCAAACCCTTTAAAACCAAATTCTGCTCATGTGATTTGGGGAGGTGGTAAGGAGCAACTGCTAATAAACTAGAAAATCTCTTACTCTTCCTTTTTCAACAAGGTTTGTGATCATGACAATGATTCCAGTATTTTGTTCCCAAATCATCCTCCAGAAATCTTCAAAGGTAGACTTTAAAGGTCCCTGGGTAGCAATGTAGGCTTTTGCTTTGTTGTAACCCTTCAAAGAAAACCATAATGCTAAGTGAGATGAAAGCAATATCATGGCAGACGTATTAATATTTTAAAGGTAACAAAGAAAGGTGCCTTTCTCATTCAGAATAGCGAGGCATTTGTAGCAAAATTATCAGGTGCACTTGGAAAACACGACCACTTCACAAGTGGCAACACTTCTTCCTTGTGGAATGATTCAGAGTTAAAGAAGAAAAAACAATTTAAACAACTTACATCAACATAATTCGCATTAATGTAGTCACTGTGCTTAGAATCTTTTCCTGGTAAAGGCCTTAGCTTCACCCTGCTGTGATCATCTGCAGGATAAAAAACAGCAGAGAAGCATTAAGCAAACATAGTGCAGAACTGCAGGTAAACATTTTCTGGGTATTGGAGTAGCCCTTATTAATACACAAAAAAAATTGGCCTTAGATTGGTCTGGAGGGGGAGGTGGAAGTATCTGTTCTTGGTCATCTGTTCATGGTAGCAGGTCCTCAGGCTTCACATCCCTTAAAGTACGTGGTTCGTGCTGGGACAGCTTCTCTTTAAAGAACACTGGAGCCTCAGAGGCACCATCTCTGGGATCATCCCCATCACACAGTGTAGGGCGATTCAAACAGCCAGGACACCCCACAGGGCTGTGGAACACCACGGGGGGATGCCGGCTCAGCTCTCGCAGGCAGCAAAGCTGCCTTCGCTTGGCTCCGTGTCTGAGCTCGTTATCCTCCACTTGGTGCTGGGCTCAGACAGCTCTACTGGCTCTGGAGCTGAGTGAATGTCCCCACTCCTTCACCATCCTCATCACACCAAGAGGTCATGCTCTTTAGCTCCCCCTTTTGTTCCACCCAAATGCTTGACTTCTGGCTTAAATCAGAAAAAAATTGCAGTCCTCCTCCTGCTCGTAGGCAGCAGCACTGGGCTGGGTGGCGCTTCCAACACACGCAGAGATGAGACATGTTGGGTAATTTTAAGCATGAAGAATCTGGTTTCAGTTGCCTTCCTTTAGCCCCAATAGAGAGAGAGGTTCCTCCAGGGGCGATCTGGAGGACTGGAGTGCCTGCTCCAATTCTCCTCCAATGGTACTTCTCCCTCTGTGCCTAGAGGGATCAGACATCTATGTCTACAATCAGAGATGGGACAACCACAATGAATCCCCTTGCCCGGGGCCACACAGCAAGTCTTTTACAGCTCTGGAGCCAGCACCTTGATTACTTCTGAGAATTTGTTAGATACACACATTTCCTTCCTGTGCCATCAAAAACATTCAAGATTTATTGCAACATTTATGAACATTGTGAACTTTTTATCAGCAGCTCTCTATCTTTGTTCCTAAACCCCAGTGACTGCTGTATCTGCCATTCATTCTACATCAGAGAATGATATGGGAAAAGTTACCGCATTTCCATCCCAGACCTGCAATAATTTGCATTCTAGAGCAGAGTCCAGATTTGCAGTTCTCAGAGGAATACAGGCAAAGCCTGCACCGTGCTACAAAGATCACTGTTTGTCCAAGTCATACACACAGCTGAAGCAGTTTGAAATACAGCAGATACATTCTGTAAGATTTAGCACCTTTGGGATTATAAGGGAATCCCAGGCATCATCAGTAAAACTCTTTGCTCCACCACGCGCTTCCCTTAGGCCAGTTTTCAGACATTAGTGGGCAGAAGAGCTCTGATCATCAATATCCCAGTTATTCCTCCACAAAATTTCATACCAAAGTGATACTTCTAGAACGACACTTGGAACATCAGCTGCAAAATATTTTAAAGCAAAAGCTAGAGTGGAATCCCGGCCCCAAAGAAGTCACAACGTTCACTGCCTTTATGTCCTGGTTTGAGGTAAAACAGAACCAATTTTTGGTCAGTAACTTCGCTTCTTAGCTGGGCCTCTCTAACAACTGAAATTAACAGCACATTGTGCAGACAATGTTCACTCTCTCAGGGTGATAAGACCTATGTTTATAGCTGATGCCCAGGCGTGGTATGCAGAGAGGACCTTGCTTATACTTATTGCTATAACAACCAAGGCCAACCAACTTTGTTATTTGCCCCGTTGGAGGGTCGGAAACGGACGCTTGTACATGTTTATTAATTACTGTGCAATAATGTAACTCAAAGCCACGTGCCTTTTCTGGTGACACACAGACACAGGGTGACAGGAGCGTGCCCGTGTGGGTTGACTCACTGTGCTTACTTACAGGCGAGGATGTTGATGTATCTGTTCTTGTGCTTGTTGTCGGGGTGGTTGGAATGCTCTGCAGTGATGTTCATGTCGGCCGTACAGCGCTGCACTTCCTAGGCGTAAAAATTATTTGAATGGAAAATGCGTCAGTCCAAAAAATTTAAGCTTTATCTCCTTTTGCAACAGCTTACAGCAACCATGCTTAAAATATCAGTATCTTAAGCGCTGGATTGAACACAGAGTCCTTCAGTATTGTCCTGTATGACATGGTCTGCTCAAACCGAGCCGTGTGAGCTGCCCCTTGGTGTGCGGTTGTGCTCCTCTACACAGACGTGGTGACAGATGCACTTCAGGCACCCTAAGGGCTGACTGTCCCCTCTGACCAGCAGTCCATCCCTCTTCTGGACTGCATCTCCTGTGATGCCTCACTCTGCCCTCTCTTGGGAAGGGAAGAGAGAGTCCCTCAAAGGCAAGAGCGGCCACAGCAGCGTAAGAAACTACACTCAAACCCCACTTCAACAGAAGCCTTTGACCGTTGGACAACTGATCTGCTTATAACCTCTCAGAACAGGGTTTCTGACATTTAAGTTTGGCACTGACCTTTTGTTAGTCCTCTGCAGAGAGATGCCTTTTATAAAATATAAATAAAATAGATCTCTGAAGATAACAGCGAGAGCTTTAAATACCACTGCTTGGACACTGATTAACAGCCCACGATATAGTGAAAAAGATAAAAGGTTGTATCCACATATATATACATTTACAAAGCAGAAAGAGGCCAGGCTCGCCAAGGTGTTCACGAAGCTAGAGATGCAGATTGCTGTCTTGTTGAGGCTGTAGGTTAGATACCTAATTCCCATTGATTTTTTTTAGTTCTTGACCTACCCCTTACTGACACTGTCCAACAACAGAATACAGAGCTATCAAAATGGGGCAATGGTAGGTCTTTTCTCCGACCCTAGAGAAAAGCAGCTATTCCCCTTGGCCAGAGTGTCCTAGTGAGTTACACACTTCAGAGGCTGTCTTGCAAACTGAATCACTAAAACTCATGTGTGATACCACCTCCAAGATTATTTTTTTTTTGGTATCTATTTAACCACAATCTTCCCGAAAAAGCTAAACCCCTTTTTATCACTAGCATAAACGTTCTTAGTTTAAAAACACATTTTTGAAAAATACATCAATGTTTGGAGTTTACAAAGTTGTGGAAGAAACTATATTTATTCAAATCTTTCGCAAGTCCCAGAAATCACACCAAACAGAATCAATTTTCCCCAAGGATATGTGGGGAAGTGCCAAATTACTTTGTACTTCAGGCTTTAAAAATAACAGTATAGAACCTGCCTAAGAGGGAAAGTCATTAGGAGCTCACAGCTGCTACAAAGATCACGAGCTAAGTGACAGAGAAAAATTATCAAGAGAAATGCTATACAAACAGCAGATGTAACAGAGTTCAGCATTATGCAGACATTTCACAAAGGACTTGCATAGCAATTTTGATATCTTCCCCAGCATTTACATTTTAAAAGTGCAAAGTATACTAAAACCTCAAACATTTTATAGCTTTTATATCCGCATGACACTCCCAAATAACAATTGCTTCTCTTTTTCCCCTCCCCTGCATAGGGAGAAATACACTACATTTAAGGAGATGAGCTGAGCAAAGACAAAGAGGAATCAAGCAAAACTCTCAGCTGGCCCTAATAGAATTTTCATAGTTCCATTTCTATCACAGAAATAAAAAAATACATTAAAGTGTGCGCTTCCCCTAATTCTGCCTGTCAGCTCCAGTAAGCAAGGGACTTGTGATTACACAACGGGCAGGATCAGTTCAGCCTAAGTCATAACTGGAAAAGCAGCATTACTTACACATTAGGTTGATTTAATGTAATTTCATTTTACCTTTTTTTTTTTTTTTGCATTTAGAAATCATATAACATCACTACTGTACCATTGGAGGTTGCTCCTAAAAAATAACCCCCCAGCTTCTGAAAAGCCTCACGTCAAACCCTATATCCCTGCATCGCTACCAAATTCTTTTCAGAAGTTATTAACATTGAAACATTTATGCCAAACGCTGTAGAATTTAGTACAGATGAATCCAATAAGGTTCTGTGGAGAATACTCTAAAAAGTTATAGAATTTAATAGGGAATTACCTCCCTGCTAAGGAATTTTCTCTGACAGTTTAAATACTACATAGTAAATGTATCACTTTCTATTAAATTCTATAGGATTCTTCCATAAGGGAATTGTTGGTGAGGTTAATCATTTTAATTAACCTTTTTATGTTGATGCTGACTGTTTTCTCCACTGTACATGTTCCCAGCTGGCCAATATAAAGTTAATAGAAGAGCAAGATTAAGCTAAGACGGTGAAAAACACAGCGAGGGAAAAGAAGGTCTGATGCTGTGAGAGCTGATCATCTGCAAATGGCTTTTCTTAACACATAACGTCTAAACGATTTTTAATACTCTGGAAAGCTGCTATAATGGTGGATTCCTATGTCTGCACAGTGCAAAAGCAGAGCAAAAGGAGACTGCTCAAGAAAAGCTTCCCCCTTGCCAATGTGCCTCGACTATTTTTGTCTTTTTAAAAATCAATGTAGAACAATAAAAGGCTATTTTGACTTCAGCCCTCCCTCCTTCCCCCAGTCCAGGACACAACCAACGCTTTGGAACACTGAAGTTGTCCACCAAGAAGGGGTCTGAGGACGTCCTCCAGCTCTGTGTGGGCCACTGACAACGTTTGGCTGTGCCCCGCGGACAGATCAGGCTGTGAGCAGAGGGCAGTTATCCATGCTCTCTTACCCTCCTGTGTTCATCTCTCCAAATTCTAGTAGCAAATTACTAAACCACAGGCTCACCCCACCAGACAGTAAGGCATAAGTTAACATTCCTTTGTTATTAAAGTCAAGGTGGTTGTCTTTCATCAATGCACAAAATGCAAGACAAGAAGACAGGACTAGTTGCAGCCTGTTATCTGTGCCTCTGCTCAGAGTATTATTTACCCTTTGGCAGAAGAGGACAGCCCCGTGTTAATAAATACCACCCTGGAGAAAGTTCCAAAAAGTCAACATCCTAATTATGCCATTTTACCACATTTATGTATGTTACATATTTACTTTCCCGGCATTTTCTATTTCTGATGCAATGAACAACGCGGGATTTCTAAATCTCACTGGCTCCCAAGTCCTTCATTTGCATTTAAAACATCACCATGATTATATTATTACTACAAGTTAAGGTTGCAGGCAGGCCACCAGGTCAGGTCTGATCCCAGGCTGCTCACTGCAGCCTAAGCAAATTCTTCTCCAATTAGCACAAAACTGCTACTGGCACCTCGGAGCAGGACAGATAGCGTCCGTATCACCGCATCCGTCATTCATCCACAAACATTTCAGCTCTAGAGTCTTTTCTTTGGCTTTCCTTAATCCCGCTTAGTCTTTTCCACCGATTTTAACCGCAGCTGGCTAGCACACTGCCGCTCCTCATGTTTAACTTTGCAGAACACATTACTGTCCAAAGATGAATGGATACAGGCTCTTATTCTGTCCTTTCAACTTATCATTGACAACCCAAGAAACCAAAGTACATGGTTTCAATTGACCGTTAGTTACTGTAAAAAGTGTTCTAGCCTATGCTATTATGGCTAATTTACCTTTTAATTATATTGTCCATGCTAATGCTAATTGCAATTTGATACACCCAGGTTTAACGACCCATTTTCATTGCCTTTCTGAAACAAGTTACAGATTAGTTTCTTCTAAACTTCAAAGAATTTCCATTTAAGTGTAAAATCAAACTGCTCCAGCGTCTTGCTGGCAATATTAGGTTCTGAGCAAGAATTTTTGCTACAGTGACTGAGCAGGAACTCGGTCTCTTGATTTGGCCTTATGCAGTGCTGCTGTTGTTTCCCATTACTTCAGTCTGATGTCCTAGCAGGGGCTGAACTGTGAAAGCCTATGAATAGCAATGAGGAGGAATCGTGAACAAAGAAAGGATCCTAATCTGAAGGACTAAATTAGAGAAGATCCATAGCTACGTTTTGATGTTACTGTGATATTTTTGCAGCATGAAAGCAGCTAGTTTATCCATCCCTAAAATCGTTTTTGATCTATTATTTTAATCCCAAATTAGAGAATTCTGTGGTAGCGCTCTTGCTGTTTGTTTTATCACAGCAAACACGAAGACAGCATACCAAGAGAGACAGCAGACAGTATTTGAAGATATCCCACAGGAATAGTGTAGATTTTTGCAATAATTTAGCACTAGTATAAACTCTCCGACAGCACTCAAGAGAGAGGTGAGCTGGGGACAGCCTAGAAAGAAGGGGAAAATAAACAAACCGAAAGGACTCAACACAGGAATAACTGTGGTGGAATCATGAACAGAGAGCTAAAAATTAATGTAAATGACTGAGAGAGGAGAGGATGGCGGAGGACCGTTTGCTTGCAGTTTCCTGCCCTTCATTAGGCAGGGAGGTGTCAGAGTCCGACTGAAACCTTGGCATTGCCCGTGAGGGGCTACGGCTCCTGTGAGCGGGGCTTCCAGGCAGAATCTTTGGGTATGGCTGCGGTACTACGGTTAGTAACAGAAAGCCCGTGTATCTGAACGTCTTTTGTTGCTTCTCTTCAAATTTATCTCTTAATTCACAAGATCATTTTCTTAGGGTTGGTCAAGTGGTGAGATAAGAATGGAGCGCTCCAGGAAGACCCTCTCCTGCAGCAATCCTTCCTCCTCCAGCTCCACAGTGCTGCTTCCCTTTGGTTTCAGTACAGAAACGCACAGGCTGGGAATACCTCTAATTATAGCAGTTTTGGGCCAGGGTTATAAAACATTTCCCAGTGCAGTAATGTCTGCTAGCAGCATGCTTTTGAAATGGCATCTTTCTACTGCCAAATTCCTCGGTGTAGATGCAGTTATAAGCATGTGTTTGGTGTAAGCTGTGTCTAATCTGTAAGGGATGCCAGTATAACTACATAGCATTTTTAGTGTCTCAAGAAATGTGCAGAGGGCAGCGTTATCTGTCTTCAATGCAGCCCTTCGCTAGAGAATAACATGCTGAGGTCAATGGTTAAAAAGAGCTAGTGACCCCTGCCCCAAGCAGCAGCA